GCTTTCAAATTAAAACTCTCTAAATCTGCCTCGTAAGGCTCAAGGCTCAATCTCAAGATCTGCATGAAGAGGGGGAGTATTTAAGGGCCTCGCCTAAAAAATAAAATAAAACAAAAATCCTTCCCATGTCCTGATTTCCGAACCACTAGATAAATAAAACACAAGAAAAACTCAGATGGAAGAAATTTCACCTTTACTGCTAGAGATTTCGGTTTACAACTGCTGGCAAATGTGCTTCCTAATACTGAGCCCTCAAAGTGCACCGACGTAAATACTCAGTTACGGGTGGTGCTAGACCACCACAGGCCTGTCTACGCGGGGTCTACCCTCTTGTAGAAAACTGATGGCAAGGGGGCCAGCAGGTGGCATAGTGGTTAAGGGCACTGGACTCCCACATGGCTGACTGCGGTTTGAGTCCCGGACCTGGCAGCTTGCTTTCTTGCTTTCCCTCTCTCTGTTTCTCTTACTCTATAATTCCTTGGTCGGATCAAATAAATAAACAAACAACTGTCATTTTAAAAAAAATTTTTTTTTAAAGAAAATCTATGGCAAGGGGGTACAGATGGTGTGTACTTCCTGCCAGCATCTGTCTCCCTAAGAGAAAGAGGCACAGAAGGGGAGAGAGTAGTCATGTCCAGTTTCTCCTTCGAAACCCTACAAGGAGTGGAGAGGAGCCACGAGTGTGTGAAAGGTAACAGATGCCAGGAGTGAGGTAGCTCCCTCCCTTGACTTTCATCTTTGATGACTACCTTCTTCACTCTATTCAGTCCTTACATATTGACCATCTGTCGTGTGCCACGGACTGTGTCAGCAGCTTCAGATGCAGAGATGATGAGCCCCTGCTCTTAAGAAATGGGGATGTATGGAAGGATACAACTGGTAAAGGGCAGGTTACAGAGGACAGAAGTGGGATTGCACAGGTGCCATGAGAAGATGAGGGAGGGAATCTGACCCAGCATGGAGCTGCAGGGAAACCTTTCACTTCAGGGAGGGAGTCACTTCTTCGTGTTTAGTTGAGGTAGCATTCTGGTGTTTTAGAAGATGGAACTTTTCTTCAGAAACCAGGTTGGGAGATGTCTAAAATGAGATTACCACTGTATAATAACTTAGGGCAAACCTATAGTTTCATAAATCATGTGCTTTCTTAGAAATTAAAATCACAGGATGGTAGGGCCCTGTGTTTTTTTTTTTCTATCAGTTTATTAGAGCTCAGTGTTAACAAGAGGAAGCATCATGACAAAATATTAAGTGCAGATGCTCAACATCCCAAGTATATGTCCAAAACTGAGGTTTTTTTCAAAAACACTAAGTATATAACCTAGGACAGCCTTTTCTATTTAGGGATTTGAGAAGACTTGTAATAAAATAAGATTTTAGAAACAAAAAATACTGGGTCAACCAATGGCATGGTGGTTAAGGCATCTGGATCCCACATGGCTGAATGTGCAGTTTGAGTCCTGGGCCCAAGGGCCTGAAAAACACACCAGGCGTGTGTGTGCATGCCCAAAATCCTAAGAGGAGAGTCGAGGAGAAGAAGTTGAGAGGTGAACATCCCCCTGATGATGCTTTATCGCTTTCTCTCATTCTCCGTCTCTCTCCAGCAAGCACCCTATATATATTTTAAAGAAAAATAGGAAATCATGCCAAGGGTCTCCTAAATTATTACCTTTACCTTTTCTGGGCCTCCACTCCCTTATGCTGTCAAGGGGAATAACACTAACCACTCCACCCACTCTCAGAGGCAGCTTTTCAGAATACACTGGAATGACACGTGTGGTATTGTGTCAAAATGGTGAAAAGTTTGAGGCCTCTTTTCTAACATCTTCTTACAATAAATATAAGTGGATGCCAGCCTAGAGCAGAGTATAGATTTTTAAACTAATCAGTTGCCTCTGGCACTAATACTAAACTTTGCAGCTGGGGCCAGAAAAAACAGAGGTAAGACAGATCTAGAAAAAAAAAAAAATTGCCTATGAAATAAATACAATTTAATGGGGAAAATCTTACTAGTCCCTTACAACACAAGGAGGTGAAGATGGGGTGACAGTTTTGTCCTCTCTCAAAGAGAATTTGTATACCGTTGATTTGTTTGGAGAAAGATTGATACACTGTGCTAAGTCCACCATGACCGATAAAGGGCAAAATCTGCAAGAGCAGTTCATAACCAA